TATAGGAACGTGTCATAATTAATTTATTGCATTTTTTAATTTAGAGTACATTACACTATTAATCCTAAACTGTTTACAATATATTAATAAATACCTATGTGATATTTAATACTAACCCTATTAAAATTAACTTTTTAATATTATTTTTTATGCAGTTTTATGTCATTTTATAACGTTTTATGGCATTTATGCTTCAAGGCAGGTATTTCCTATATTATCTTATGCATTTTGTTGTTTATTGATTAATCTTGTTAAATTAATTTATTATTTAATTGTTAATTCTACCTAGGTATTTATTAAAAATAATATTAATAAAAATAATAATGTTTTTTGTGTAAATATTTAATTTAAAAATACCAATTGGTATTGATATTCTTCAAAATAAAAAATAAAATACCTATTCATTAATAATTACAGAATACATACATAATATGAGCAGGTCCATTCCAAAACTCGGCTTATCCACTTTTTAATAAAAATGAGTTAGTGGTGTCTGTACATTTAAGTTAAAATGATTTAACATGTATCCCCCTATACCCTGAAAAGTTCATAATATTCTAAAACTAACCTTATTTCATTTAAAATTCATTTACAAATTGACTATCGTTCCAAAACTTGCCTTTTCTATTGGTTATATCATGCAGAACTCGGCATATACGTATGTAATTTTAAATTATTTTAAACTGGAGCTATACTTTTTTAATCAAGGTATATAAATGTTTTGGTTATGCCTTTATATTTCGTTTAAAGTATTGTGTTTGCCTGATATGCGTTAGTACTCATGTGTAAGGTTTTTGACATTTTGCTCGGAAACAACTAATATGGATAGGTAAGCCGATATGTTATATTAATATATTATAATATTGCATAAAATGTCAATACAATTTTTAAGAAAAAATAAAACAAGATTAATTAAAATAAAATCCTCAGAAAGAAACCTAAGTATTGTGTTTGCCTGATATGCGTTAGTACTCATGTGTAAGGTTTTTGACATTTTGCTCGGAAACAACTAATATGGATACCTAAGCCGATATGTTATATTAATATATTATAATATTGCATAAAATGTCAATACAATTTTTAAGAAAAAATAAAACAAGATTAATTAAAATAAAATCCTCAGAAAGAAACCTAAATAACAAAACACTCCTACCTAAGTCACATACATACAGTGTGACCCATTTGTTTGTGACTCAACCTTGTACAATCTTTATTTATTGCGCGATTTTAACCGGATTTAATTTAAAGTGTAGATCTCATATTTTTACATAATAAAGGGTACTATGTCAGATTTTGAGAGTAAATTTTTAAGAATTCTGCAGTTTTAGTGAGTTTTTACACTTTTCAAAGCTTTCAAACATACGAATTTTTTAATAAAAAAATATAATCCTGGTATAGATTCTTTGGGAAATTTTATGCTCTACAAGAATCCGCGACGTAAAATTTTTTATCTCAAACGGTTCAAAAGTTATAGTCTTTTTAATGAAAAAAGATTTTTTTACGTGTTATTTCAATGGAAAACTTAGAATGCTCACCGACACCTTTTAAAATTGAGCAAAAAATTTTGCCTTGCAGGGAAATTTTTTGCTCGGTATATAACCCATAAATCCGATAGGTTAGTTTTTTTGGCTCACCCTAATATATATATATATATATACGCGTAAAAGTACCAAGTGACACCAAAAACTACATGGACGTTCCCGCACCCAATATTTTTTGCGCTTAATGTGAATTAATGGCACCTTATATATTTTTTAAGTATATATGCGTTCTGACACTATACAGATATATAATACCTTTATTTGAAAGTCAGTGTTTATAAAAGTAAAACTAAAATATTGCTCGCTTTAGGAAGTCCTTTGTCGAAATAGTCAGATGTTTCGAATAAAATACTTATTGTCATCACATTTATTTTACTTTTCGTTTTAAATATTCTAAATTAAAAACTAACCTTGGAGAATACACAAACAGTCGTAACAATAATTTAAATAGAACTTTGCAATAAACACTTCCAAAAACTTTCTGCCTGTTTTTTGCTTCCCTTTACTCGATTCGTGTACCTGAACCATCGTTTCTGGAATCATCCGGACGCCAGATTTTTAGGCAAAGTTCGAAAAACCTGTAATTCCTTTACCTAAGTGTCCCTTTTTACCACTCTTGCAAAACTTTTTGCCTTTAACACGATAATTTAGAAATTTTAAATTTATTCTAAAATAAATTTGTAAAATATATAAAACTACGTTAATTTACTTGAAAATAAATTTGTAAACCGTGTCAGTACGGAACAATTACAATATTTACATAAAGTTCGTTTTTGGGTGTACAAAACAAAAAATCCATTTTTACACAATTCATGTGATTGCTGTTTTTTTCACGAATATAAATTGTGACAATAATAATTTTGGCATACCGAGTTTTTTAAATTTAATTTACATTATTATACAGGGCCTGCATATTGACATGTGATCTTATTCAAGGGGTAAAGTAAATTTTTTTTATTAAAGTAGAAAAAAAACAATATTGTGATTATAAATTAAAATAAATTTGGTATTGCAATAACAATTTTGTTTGCCCTTTATTATAAAAAAATTATCATCCTCTTGCCCGTTCAATTATCATTTACTAATATGTCTTTATAAAATTATCAATTTTACCCATTTTTGGGTGCAACCGTTCTGGCAAATCAGCTATGAAATGACATAAAAATAAAATCCTTGTGGGGGCCCAGCCTATAATTGCCCCAAAACATTATAAAACTTATTTCCATTGTATTATCTGCAAGACGAAAAACGTGACGCGATGCTTAAAAATTATGGCAATATTGTAAGATTGCTTAGATTGCTAGTTATCTTTGTATGTTATAAAAATATGTTATTATTTTTCTATTATTTTAGTAGTACGACAAAATTTAAATTATTTTCTCAAGATTACAGATTTTGAAAATAGACTTAAAAAATGATACCCGTGTCTCGGCATGTTTTCAGATCACGGCTTCAATAACAGCTAAATGTATAGTTTTTGAAAAATTTTATTTAATGAATAAATTTTATTCAAAAAAAACTCAAAAATTATTTTTTTTTAATTTACCTATAGAATTTTTTTTTATTTAAAATTTTTAATTTTTCTATTATTTAAAACATCAATATTTGAAAAAATAATTTATAACAAAATAGAAAATTATGTATGTATATGTTAAAATAATAAGAATGGCTGTATAAAAAATTTTAATGACGTGATTTCGTAAAATGGTAAGTCACGGACATGTTTTTTTAACCTATATTTTAAAATCTGTTAAATTTTTTCATGGGAGGTAAATCGTGTTGAACTGTATAAGAACCTTATTTAAAAAAAATATTCTTTCGTATTTTTTTAATAAATAATAATAATAATAAATAAAAATAATAATTTTTATTTTCAATATAAAAACTTAAAAAATATGTGAAATCAGGGGGCCCAGTAAAGATTTTCGCGGGGGGGGGGGCAATATCTGCCTGCTGTTATGTTAAGTATTGATTTTTATTTTTTTAATATTAACAAGAAAATACGAAAATCTTCTAATGCTTTTTTACTAATTTTTGTGACCTAGTCATAAAACGTGCAAAAGCATCCCTAGTTTCCGCAAATAATTGATTGTTTCCCTAATTAATTTAAAAAAGTTTAAATACTTAGTACCTACTTACCACCAAAAACTTTGTATTTTTGATCCATTTTTATCTAATTTCACTACTTCACTAGCCGTAAATAATACTAAGACTAAGGAGCCAAATAGATACTACTTAATAGTAAATTAAATTAAATCTAAAATATCGGAAAACGTCTAGAATCTAGACTCAAGAAATACATGGTGCCGCAACGTCCTATTGTATATATTCTATCATGGTGCCGCTACGTTGTATAGTTTACTTACGTAGTTAGCGCCCTCTGTAGATTATATGGTTGAACTAAAATTGTACTTTTCTATATATATAGTCCAAGTGGCACCATCTGGAAATTTTGTAGGGATAATACTATGACACATTAGAGTTTATATATGAAATAAAACGTTCTGGCACCTTGAAATGGTGCCACAACGATTATATAGGTGCCACTTGGCCCATATATATCCGAATTTGGTGCTTTAACGCCTGTTTGTATATATATATATATATATATATATACCTACAACTCTTCATTAAATATTACAACAATTTTGTTTTTTTTTTGTACCTACCTACTCATTCTTCTCGATTTTTCACAAAACTTATTTATGGCAGTTAGTACGTTGTTCCAGCAAAGCATTCAATAGGTAATTGTTATTCAGAAACTTTTCAAATTTTTCCATCTAATCTTATAACAGAATTTTTGGGGCATTCATACTTAGGCATACCTATGGGTATAAATAACAATTTAATATAAATAATATTTATATGTAGGTATGCAAACAAGTTCTTCTCTCAAATAAATTTTGCTATTATAATGATAATATCTTAGAAACACCTTATGTAAATAAATGTATTAAAAAAATAACGAAACTGTTATTATGATAAACCCGAGCAAACTATTAAAATATATCAATACCTACCATACAAACTTCAAAGTAAATTGTTTTCCATGAAAGTAATTATTATAATTTGAAGTATTTGAAATATAAAGTCAATTGCACCTGAAATAATAATCAGTAAAAATTGTTGAAAAAAATCAAGTTGTCGGCGGAATAACCCGTGCTGTTGGAAGGGTTCCGGGCGTTTTTGTCGTAGGCATTGGTCCGTCATATGGCATGACTTGTAATTGGGATATACAAATTTGTGGGCCTGATGGTCGGCGTCCATTGGATGAGAGGCACGCGCTACAAGGGGCGGTGCATCCGTCTTTTGTTCGTCCGCAAGGGACAGGGGATGCTCCCTCGCCCGTATAAAAGGTCAACAGGTAGTGCCGAACATCATTCGAAAACCATCGGCCGTTCTGTTCACTACAGTACCAGCTTTTAGTTCAGAGCAAACTTGAAATTAGCACGCGAAATCATGGAAAATCCAGAGTACGGTTATCTCTACATGTTGACCACCCAGCACCCAAGTGTTAACAGTGATTGGGGTTCTTTATCTTCCGCATCGAGTTACGACAGTTATTCGGAGGAAAATTATCAACAAAACTGCGTTAGTCCGGACAACATCGAAAGGTCCAAGACCAGGGTAACACCCGTAGTGCTTCGCAAAAGACGTTTGGCAGCCAACGCCAGGGAGCGCAGAAGGATGCAGAACCTAAACCAAGCCTTCGATAGGCTTAGGACGTTCCTACCTCAACTAGGACAAGACAGACAATTGTCCAAATACGAAACTCTTCAGATGGCGCAGACCTACATCACGGCGCTCTACGATCTCCTAGATGCGCGACCACAACACTAGAGTTTAGTTAGTTAGGCGTAGGTTAGTTTAGTGTATTTATTTGTTGCCATTTACCATGCCAAAGTTTATATTTAATGTTACTATAGTCTTTAGATTTAAGAATGTTAAGCTATGTCAGTATTTTATTTCCAAAAAGTGTAGTCCATCCGATGTAAATATGTAAATAATGTTAAGTAGTTTTAAGCGTACTACTAATAAGCCAAAATGCCATACCCAGTATTTAATGTACTCTTAGATTTAAGTAAAAAGCTGTGAGTATTAATCCAAGCTTTTATAAATAAATGATTTAATAAAAAAACATTTTAAAATATTTTGCAATTTTATTTCTTATAATTATAATAATAATAAAACATCAGTTATTAAGAATATATTTACAAAGGTAAGTAAAATCTCTTCTTTAAACATTTTATAAAACTAGTTGCCATGGTTTTTGTTTAGAAGCAAATGTATATCCCAAAAATACACGCACAGGAAATAGTGCTCTTCAGTAATTTTAAGAGACCTATACATTTAATTTAACATTTTTATAAAACCATAGGAAGTACACTCTTAAAAAATATATATTTTATTCGTTTTTATAACCTGGCTAGGATTTAAGGTTCGTTGTGAGTACACTGTTGATGTCTACCCAAAAAAGTTTAACACTTTATTTAAATTAGTTAATAGGTTAATGTTGTTTCATAGTTATAGTTAAAATTGGGATTTATTTTCCAACATTAAATTAAAATCAAACTTCAAAAAGTTTAGTTAATAATATATAATATTAGAAATAATTTACTTTTTGTTAGTAAACTATTTGTTTTATTTAGTTTAGTTTATAATATATATATGTTAGTAAACTATTTGTTTTATTTAGTTTAGTTTATAATATAAACTAAACTAAATAAAACAAATAGTTTACTAACAAAAAGTAAATTATTTCTAATATTATATATTATTAACTAAACTATTATCAAGCTTTATTTATTATTAGAAAATATTTCATATTTAATAACATTTGGCGAAAAAGAATGACGATAAAAAACCAAAGCATTTGGTTAGACATATTTGATTCAGATCAGCAAAGATTATACGTTTGTTATAATATACCAAAGTAAGAACTATTTAGCATCAAGTTGTCTATTAAAAACCAAATCTTTCGGTTGGCCATTATCTTGGGGGTACGCATCATTTGTTGCCTTTTGTTTTTGTGCAGTAAAATCAACAAAAATGAAAGAATTTCTACGTGAAAATGGTCTATTGGACCTATTATCATATTTTGAAGAAAAGTTTTTAATATATTATTATATTAATTGCAAGTTTCAATGATTTATTACTTATACATGGTAATTACGTATTACGCAATTGAATCGGTGAGAATAAGAACCGTACATGTCCAAATGTTTGAATTTTTAGAAAACAAAATAAACTGTTTATTTTGTTTATTAGGATTTTTTCAGGTTTAAAAGTACAGACAAGCTGTGGTGGATGACTTTAGACGTCCATTAAATTAAAAATATTTTTTTACCACTTGCATGCTTTATTATACACACAAATATAAACTTGGACTTGTACTGTTCTTAATCTCAATAAAATTCTGACACAGAATTCTAATAATAATCTTTAGAATTTTGTTATAGAATTTAAAAAATAAAACATCACGATGTGGTAAAGCATTTTTATAGATAAAGAGCATTTTTTTTTAACAAAAAGCATTTTTTTTTTTTAGCAAAAAGCACTTTTTTTAACAAAAAGCATTTTTATTGATCAAAAAGCAATTTATTGAACAAAAATATTAAATAATCAATTTTGTATACCGGCATCATCATCCGTATTAGTGTTTGGCCAGGATGTTACATGGTGGTAAAACTCTAGATCTTCTCCCTTGATGTAATTCATTATATTTTTTTCATTGCATGGTGGTCCAGTTCTTTTTTCTTCGAAATTTTTTTCAGATGTAGACATATAAAACACACCACGCTGCCGTGCAAACTTTCTATTATTAATTTTTCATCGTTCTGGATTTTTTCTACGTCCTTTGTAATTTTCGCTCAGATGATAACATTGTTGTATTTTACACTTAAGCAGCATAAAATACCAACTGACAGCTTTCATGAGCATGACAAACTTAAACTTTTAGTAGGTATATAATGTCCATAATCAACAACAACATTTATTGGGAATAAGAACAGTATAAGTCCAGGACTTGTATTGTTCTTATTCTCAATGCTTTACAGTTAGCTCTGACAAACACCAAGCCTATTTTAAAAATGTTCTTCTACTTCTTCGATGCTGCTTCGAAATTAAAACAAAATGTCTATTTCAGATGAAAATGTCATATTTTGGACTTGTACTGTTCTTATTCTCACCGATTCAATTGCATTGCATCGATAGTTCTAGTTTTTGAAACTTTTCTTCAAAAATATATTTTAACTCCTTAGTAAATTCGTATGGAATGAAACGAAATAATTTGGTATTATTTAAATTGTGTAACTATTGCTAGTGTGAAATACTTTTAAAACCAAAACTAAATATGCAAAAATTTTAGCTTAGAACCGCAACACAAGAAAGCCATTAAATGTATTATTAAATAGAAAATTAGTTTTGTAAACCTTAACATACGTAACATATGTTTACTACCAACATATTATATATTATTATTATATTAAATACCAAACGGATTTGGTTTTTGTAACCAAATATGTAAAACCAAATCCTTCTTTTCCAGTAACTATGCAATTTGCTAGATCAATATTCAGCGAAGCATTTGCTAATAAAAACCAAGCATGCTTAACTGTTAACAAACTCTTCTCTCAGTGTGTTTAAACTCTTTCTACAATTTCACATTTCATTAGTTTCAGTTTCAACAGTGTCAACTATCTATGTAAATAAACTACATTATTACAATTTTAATTTCAAAAGAACAATTATAAAAACAAATTGCACTCTTCTGTGGTTTATGACATAATTTTAATACAAGCATATTTTTGTATAAAAGACACAGTACATTAAATCAGTATCAGTTAACAATTACATTTTAATTTGATACAATGAACTGCCTCAGTGTTAGTAAAATATTTATAAGGTTATGTAGAATATTTTATAATAGGTATATTTTTTTTAGTTTGTAGTTTTATTCTGCGTGGCCATCGTCTATGCTTCACACCATGAAGAAAATTATGTAAGATACTTTTTCAGTTATTTTTCAAGAACATTTTTATAAATCAACTCAACTATTTAGGCTCCAGCTCATTATAAATTCGAATACGGTGTGCATGATCCTCACACCCACGACATCAAGTCTCAACACGAGCACAGAGATGGTCACAACGTAAAGGGAGGTTACACCCTTAAGGAAGCCGATGGCACTACTCGTGTTGTAGAATACATTGGAGATCACCACAACGGTTTCCAAGCGGTCGTCAAGAGAATCGGCCATGCCCAGCACCCCGCTCATTATGGACATGGTCACGGTCATGGACATGGAGGTGATCACGGTCATGGACATGGAGGTGTTGGCGGCACTAGTTGGGTTGGAGTCACTCATTATGGATATAAACACTGATTATTATTTTTCTGTAAATAAAAAAAAGAAATTATATTTTATTTTATTTAGAACCCTTCATATAAATTTGGTTGATTATCTTTGCCTTAAAAATAAAAAATGAAAAAAAAATCCAAAAGTGGTAAATTACAAAAAATGGTTATATATACATGTTTTTTGGTTTTCCCAATAACCTTATAACCATCTATTGGGTGGCACAAACAGAACTATTTTAAAAATATATACTTATTTTTGGTCAAAAGAGTATATCGTTTCATTTAGAGTTCTACCTTTTTGCAAAAAGCATACCAATTTAAAATTAAAGGTATATCGTTAACACGTTAAAAAAAATTGACTCCCATGATTGTTTGTTTATTTAAAATGGCCTGTTAATTTTTAATAAATTGTGCATTGTAATATTATATAATATATTATATTATAATGTATCCTTAAAAAAAGATATTATTTAATTATTATTATGATTACAAACTAAGAGAAATGATTCTCTTTTTGTTAGTAAACCGATTTAGTTTATATTAGCAAGCTTTAAGGGGCTTTAAAGGGGCTTACTTATTGTTAAAAAAATATTTTATATTTGATAGCATTTGACAAAAAAGAATGGATATAAAAAATAAAGCCTTTGGTAAGACATCTTTAGAAGATGTTTGGTATCAAAAATCTTATTTGGTTTAGATCCGTAAAGTGTACACGTTTGTTATGATATACCAAAGTAAGAACTAGTTAGCATCAACTTTGCTATTAAAACCCGAATAACTTTTGGTTGGCTCATTGTCTTGGCGTCATAATGTAACACTGATTGGTACGCATCAGTTGTTGCAGACCAAGCACCTATTGGTACGGATTAGTGTTAATATTAACTGTCCATTTATTTTTTAATAGTTTGAAACTGATTAAATAGTGAATCAGATTTGTAAACCTGAACATCCATAAAATTTTAACTACCTACCAATGTATTTCATATTAAATACCAAAACGATTTGGTATTTTTAACCAAATATTGAAAACCAAATCCTTATTTTCCTGTAAACATTCAGTTTCCTAGCCAAATATTTAGCGAAGCATTTGCTCATAAAAACCAAGCATGCTTAAAAGTTACCAAGCTGTTCGATTTTAAAGATAGTTTTTGCTAACCATATTAATTATATAACATCATCAGCTTACCGAAATTTTTAATTAAAAACTACAGACTTTCATCAGCCTGTTGCTTTATTTTTACTAAATAACGCCATTGTTAAATCTAAATTAGACGCAGCAGTTGTATTTGGAGTCTAGGCTAATAAGTAATATAAAGAGATTCCTTCAAAAGATAAAATGTAGGATATTATAGTTCCGAATTAGGCTAACGTGATAACACTTAATCTGAAAGTAGTGATGCCGCCGATACGAGAGATTCTCGCCTCTCGTCTCGTCTCGACGAGATGAGAGGGCGATTTTCTCTCGAAAAAAGGCTCGAGATGAGACGAGAGAATGCCCTCTTTCACTCGAGAATTTCTCGTTTCTCTCGTTCTCTATATTGATATGATATCCATTTCTTCAAAAAATAAAATGTCTGATCCAATATGACGAAAATTTGTCGTTCGGCTTTAATGGTTTGGGTAAAATTTAGTATTTAGATATTTATGGGATCTCTGATTAAGAATTTGATATCCAATAAAAAAACAAAATTGAGGATTCAAAATGACGGACATCAAATGCTCGACATTTTCGGCGTAAAAAGACTTTATCAGTGTGGTCTTCGCACACATTTTTTTATTGGTTTAAATTTCCATAAAAAAAAATATAAACGAATTCGTATTTCATTCCAAATAATTTTTGTATTCATACATAGCTACTTTTACCAAGAGGGAAACGAGACCAGACGTCTCGCGGCATCACTATCTGAAAGAATGTTATCCTCCGAACTCTTTCTTCATAAATTAACAAATAATTTAATAGACTTTCCAGGATTTCTAACAATATTAAATTTCAATATCCACAATTTCACTAATCACTAAAAAGCTATTTAGTTGAAATGAAATACAAATTTTAAACAAACTAATTAATATAAGTAAAATGTTTAATTATTTGAGAAGGCTAAGCCTCCCTTGCCTCCCCTGCGAGCCGCCACGGATTTTTATATAACAGTGTTACTTAAACCACATGTCTATGTATTAAAGGCACAAACAATGTTTAAACTAAAATGGTTGCTTAACTTTATAAAGTTAAGCGCTTTTGTATATGTCATGTGGCTGAACCTTTTTTTATAGTTGTAGCCACATAATTTGGATCTCTTTTTTCATGTACATTTTTAATTAGTTTTAATTTCCATATTTCTAAGCATCTACGTAAATAAACTGTGCAATTGCAATTTTAATTTTATAAGAACAATCATAAAAAGAAATTACATTTGTCTGTGGTTTGTGACATAATTTTCGATATAAGTATATTTTTATATAAAAGACAGCAAGATAATCACAGTATCAGTTATCAATTTGGTTTTAATTTGATACAATGAACTGCCTAAGTGTAAGTCAAATATTAACCCTAGGTTATTAATAAATACATTTCATAGTAAAATATTTTTTTTTTAGTTCTTTCTTTTGATCTTCGTTGCTGTCGCTTATGCTTCACACCATGAAGAAAATTATGTAAGATATTTATTTCACTATTTCGCAAGAACATTTTTACAAATCAAGTGAACTGTTTAGGCTCCAGCTCATTACAAATTCGAATACGGTGTCCATGATCCTCATACCCACGACATCAAGTCTCAACATGAACACAGGGATGGTCACAAAGTGAATGGAGGCTACACCCTTAAGGAAGCCGATGGCACCACTCGTATTGTGGAATACATTGGAGATCACCACAACGGTTTCCAAGCGATCGTCAAGAGAATCGGCCATGCCCAGCATCCCGCTCATTATGGACATGGTCACGGTGATCACGGTCATGGACATGGAGGAGTTGGCGGTACCAGCTGGGTTGGAGTCACTCATTATGGATATAAACACTAATTATTAGTTTTTTGTTATTAAAAAATTAAATCCATATTTTACTTTTTTAATTATGAAAGTATAAAATAAGTTAGTAAAAAATGACTAGTTGTCATAGTAAAAAAGCATGCACTAATAACTGTAGTCCACAGCAATTTCCGGACATTTAACAGTCAATTCCTATGTAAAATTGTAAGCTAAATCCTAAAAAACCCTCAAAAGTTATGAAAGTAGAGCGGTTTTTGAGATATAGTTTTATAACTTTTGACGACATTCAATATTTAGCCGATAATTTTACATATTAATTGACTGCTTAATGTCGGATATCAAAATTTCTTTTGACTAGCAAGTGGCTGCTATTTCACCATGAAAATTATTCATTTTATACTAATTCATTTTAAGAGAGAACTAACTTTACCTTTCACCTGTTTTTCATGCATGTAAAGTACAGTTCATTTTTTTTTATCTGGACTCGTGTTTTTTGTTAGGTTGGTGGCTTATGCCAGTTTGACTTAGTATTTTTAATATTTAAAAATGGTACTTCTGCTAAAGGATTTAATTAAATACTGACACTGTCAAATTGACAATAATATTTATTATTGATAATTTACTTGTCAATTATAAATAAAAAGATAATTATGCCAAAAATAGTAGGAACGAATTCGAATGTAAATGTCCTATTAAGGGCAAAACTTCATTTTGATGAAATTATGCCAAATGCCACAATGGAAGAAAAAGTACATCGCCTTATGGACATTTTTGGAGTAAAAAAGTAACGAATTTGGTTTTATAAATATTACATCACACATTATTTTCACATTATTTACCATTGGACAACATTTACGTTCACAAAAAATTTTAATTTCTTTTATATACCTAAATTCTTTTCAAAGCGAAGATTATTATCCGCTAAGAATACTTTCTCTTCTGGGCCGTAAAGCAACCTATATTTAACTACTTTTTTTATATGATTTTACTCATCCAAGCACCACCAAAGCCAAATTAATTGCATTTTTAACTACGAATTTCGACAACTCAACTTGACAACTGCACTATGTAACCTACAATAATTTATACATAACCACAATTAGATTTATAACTAGCTTAGTTTGTTTTAATCAATGCGACCAACTTGACAACTGTATTTACCAACCAAAACCCTAAATTTGCAACGTTGCCGCAGTCCAGATAAAAAAAATGAACTTTATATAATATATCGTTTGCATTAGATTATATTATAATCTAATGCAAACGATATCCTTCTATACTGTCTTCTATCTTTAGCTAGAGGCTCAAATTATTTTTTCTCTCTCTTATATTCATACTTAAATAAGTTTTGTACTAATTTTTTTACCATTAAAAGTTACTATAGTATAGTATACAATAACTACCTATGATACAGTTATTATTTTAGTGGCAGAAAAGCTGCAAGGGGTTGATCAAGTATTTATCAACCCCTTGCAGATTTTCCGCGATCTTGGATTTAGGAGTAAATTCGCGAATAACAGCCGTATGTATGATTCCATAGAAAACATATAGTGTTGGCCATAATTTTTGAAACCACTGTAAAAAAAATCTAACTCTAACACGCCTTTATTATTCTTTATGAAATTTTGGATAAAAATACTTCGAGAAAATGTTTTTAAAGCCCTTTTATTTAATAATGAAAAAACGTTCGAAAAATAACTTTTGGTTGCAAAAATTATGGCCAACACTGTATGTAAATACCATTTATGACAAGAAAAATGAGTTATATAAATTTGTTTACCTACTTGATATTTTTAAATATTTTGCATATTTTAACGAGATATAACCAACTTTTAATAATAAAAAACAATTATTTAAAAAAGGGGCACTACAGTAAGTAAACAATTGCTTTAATAACAGTTGCAATTAATTGTGTCTAAAAAAATTGCGATAGCGCGCTAATAAAAAAAAGGAATTTGTCCTTAAAAAATTTGGTTATTTTTCGTTAAAATATGCAAAATATTTAAAAATAATTATAATTATTTATTATAGGTTATAACTCGTTAAATATTAAATAATTTTCTTGATTATATTACTTTTTTTATTCGTTATTTTGATCTGTGTAGCTGTGCTTATGCTTCTCACCAGGAAGATAATCATGTATGCCATGTCCATGGTCATGGCGGCACTAGGTGGCCATTTAGACAGTGGCCCCGAGCACCAGGGGGCCCCCAAGAGTAGCAAGAGAATTTTTTTTATCTAAATAAAAGAAAAATGTTCAATATGAAAAAATAAAAATTTTGTTTTTTTGTAGTAATAAATATTCGTTGCCTGCTTGATATTATATTTTTATTGTGTTCTTTTTTTTTTCAAATTTCTGAACTCAAAATTTGGAATTAAATATTTTGAAATAAACATAGGTACCTTGTAGTTTTGGAGCATAGTGCATTCCGTGGGATTTTTTGTGAAGGGAAGATGAAACTATCTGAAATCAGTTTTTTATACACAAGGCAGTAGTATATTATCGGGTGTTTTGTTTAAAAATGTGTCAATTTTTTATGACGTCATTAATCCGATACCTAACTGTTATTTAAGGTATGCGTTTATAAAATGTCGCATAATTTCGTAATTAGTGGTCCTATTAAAAAAAATTATATAATCTCTTAAAATAACCATAAAAAAAGGAAAAAAATATTTAAAACATTTTTTTATCTCAAATGGTTAAGAAAATATTGGCTTTTAAAACTGACATATTGTTATATTTTTATATTTTGCATGGATCGATTTGGAGCCATTTTGCAAGAAATTTTAACTTTTATGAGCTGTAACTCAGCTATTTTTGATTCGATTAAAACGATGTTTTTACCGTTGGATGCGAAATTTAACCACCTTTATATATCGGATTTACCCACCTTTATATATCGGATTTGGCATATATCGGATTTGCCATACCCTCTCGATGCTGATTTAAGTAAAATCTTAAATTAAAAAACAAAAATATACCGTCATTTAGGTGAAGGGCCTAAATAAGAAAAAAAAAAGAAAAAAGTTTTTTGTGTTTAGCGCACCAAAATCACCCTAAAAATTTAAAATTTAGTTTCTATTTTTCCTTGTAAAACAGTGTAATAAATTATAAATGGTAATTAAATAGGTAATAGTAAATATTTTAAAAGAAAACTGTTAAAATTAAGTATTTAGAAATTAAAAATGCTTTTAAATTCAATAAAATACTATATAACATCAAATTTAAACACAAAAACATACCTTAAATTAAGAAAAACCGCAAAAAAGTATTAAAATCGTAAAATACTTTATCTCCACGCGGTCTATAATTTAAACTTTATTGTTGTCAACATTCGATAAAGAAATACCTTGTTATGGCCTAGGCCGATAAAAATTTTTATGAGGCAAGTAATTAGTTCGATTTTTTCTCGCTAGGGGTATTGTTTTGACAAATTAATCCTTTTCTAAGAAATTAACGTACTAAACTGGTTTAATTTATTTATAATAAGCACTAATTTGTTTGTTTTACTGTTATAACATTATAATGTTTAATATTTTTCATTAAATTATTGTAAAATTAAATATGAATAATAAAACAAAAAGTGTGGTTAGGACATTGCAATTTGACGTTTCTGTCGATTACACAGTTGTGTTTTCTTTTTCTACGATTTAAATTTTCTTTAAGTTTTAATTTGCTTTAAGTTTTCAGTGAAATTAAATGTTAAACACAGCGTAAACATTCCAAACTACCTATTTTTTTAATAAAAATGCAAACAAATTGAAATTAGATACCTATTAATTAAACAATTAATTGAATTCAATGTAATAGCAAGAGGGTAAGTAAACCATTTTCTTACAAAAATCCATTTCTACTTAAATCATGTAGCTAGGTATTGTCAAACTATTACTGCTTCTAAAAGGAATAATAATTATTGTACATTTAATGAAATCTAGCTAATAAATAAATGAGATTTTAAAAAAGTGAGGTTAGGCTGCTTTCATGTTGAATTAAATTGGCCTATATAAAGTGCTTTGAAGATAAAATGTTGTATGCCATTCGGCCAAGAAGTGTCTTTTTGTGCTTCGCTCAATTGTAGGCCTTCAAACTTTGAGCTTAGCACAAAAAGCCTTACTTCTTAACCTAATGACATAAATAACTATTTGACAGTTCTATGTAAACATAAATTAATAAAGTCAAGGCACACTTAATTTATAAGCAACCAATGAAACTACTTAAATTTGCTAAAACAGTTTTATTTAAAAAAAGTCACTGTTGCTAGAGGCTTAAAAAATTGATGGGCCATCAAATTTGACGGCCCATAAAATTATACAATTGTTTCGATACAATCAAAAATTGTCAAATGTAATTTATTTCAAAGGGCACAATAAAATTAATTATTTGGCTTTTATAAATGAATGTCGAAAATGGTGGACATTTTGGATTAGAAATGCCATAAACCCCACCAGACATATTTTCAAGGTAAACACCCTGTACCACACAACTCAAAAAGGTATAAAAAAGCTATTCCTTATAGTCCCATCATCCCTTCATAAAAAATCCCACGGAGAATAATTTATGCTCCAGGACTATTGTGAATTTAAAATAATAAATCTAGAATCATAAACTCGAAATCAAATACTTCACACCGAAAGTCTGAAATTTTGAATAGGAAATATACATTCTTAGTCAAAAATAGAAATTCAGAGATGAAAAAATAAAAATAAAAAATTTGCAATCTAAAATAAGAAATTTTCGATTTCACATTTACAATTTTGGATAAAAAAAATCAAGATTCAAACTCTCAAATTCGAAATCTTATTTATAATATAGCATAAATTAGTAGTACTATAAATTAATATAGCATACAACATATATGTTTGCAATGAGACAGTTTGAAATAATGCAATAAAATATTCTTTGAAACGTAGATCTGATTTGAAGTATTATGCCATAAAAATAAAAAATTTTACGTATTCACACTTGATCATTTTTTTTCAACATCATTTTTATCCGTAATTACAAGGTACTATTTAAGAATAATACATCCCTT